CCGATGACATGTGTCAACCAAGTCAGCGAGCCTGAGCCACCCGATCCTGTTAGTCGCCTCTTACGACAAGCACGGGTTACTGAACGCACATTCTAAGCCGGACCTTCACGGGTTACAGGGATCTGAAATCAATCGCCAAAGGGATTCGATAACTTGCTTAACATCAGCCAAGTCAGCGAGACTGACCACCCGATCCTCCTAGCAGCCTCCTACGACAAAGTGTTGCTGAAAACAAACACTGATTATCACGGGTAGGCCAATAGATGTCCCCAGGTAGGCCGTAGACAACAGAGATAAGATATGAGATATCAACATTTAACTACCACTTCAGAACTCAAGTCAAGAAACGCTCCGGATGTCTGAAGGTCAGATCTCTTGGACTCTTCCCAGGAGCGCGAGTTGTTCGGGGAGAGGACTGGAAGTGGGATCAACAAGACGGTAGGTCAAGGCCATATCAGATTAAGGGTAAAGGGGTGGCTAGTAGTTAAATGGATTTAAAGCGTACGCTCGTCCCTTCTTATACCAGGGTTGGATTAGCACTTGGGTACAATGTGTAAAAGTCCATTCTGGTGTCACCCGTTGGTACCACCGGAATATTGGTAAATGTGGTGTGAAAACACATTCACTCACTCACTCGTGAACTTAAAATGGTTTTGCTGCAGGAAAAAAAAGAAATGACGACCATAGTTTGACGTATGTTTTAATAGTTCGTGTAGGACGTTCTATAAAGGATCAAGTGTCAGTACTGCCTTCTCTGCAGGTGGGTCAGGGGAGCAAGGGGAAGATAACCGAGATCCCAGAAGAACACAACGTGACCACCATCAGGAACATCGCGAGGGTCAAGTGGGATAACGGCCGCTCCAACATCTACATAGTCGGCCACGAGGAAAGGTGGACATCAAGTACATAGAGGAGGGATCGGACCGTCCTACTACAGGGGACAACATGGCAGTGTTGGGTACATACATGTAACGCTACATCAATAATAACACAAACAAATCCGATCTTACGCAAACACTCTTTCGTCACAACACTACTCGTTGTGAAAATTATCTTTCATATAAACCACTGCCCAAACCATTTCGCAACCCAACTCTCACTATGTCAGTCAGATCGTGCGTGCGTACGACAAACGTATAACAAGTGATTCCGTAGCATTTATTGGCTAAACAAGCGTTTTTGGGGGTTATGTTTCCATGAACCAAAACATAATGACTTCGTCCTTCTAAAGGACTGTTTCCTGAGAATAGAATAGGAGTTGCATCATGGCGTTGAACAATGTCACTGTTAACTTCTTTGAGAGGCATTTTAGAAGTTGTATAGATGAAAGGAAAACCAGTTCTATGGATAGTCAACTTCTTTATTGCAATGAGTGCGACGTTTCGGTGTATCAAGCAGAGTGATGTTAGTACCTACACCGAAACGTCACACTCATTGCAATAAAGAAGTTGACTATCCATAGAACTTGGTTTCAACTCAATGTCACTATTGCCTACAATTGTTTTGTGGTAATGATTACATATTCAGTGTGAGAAGTTGTTATTGGTGACGTATTTCTTCCAAAGAACTGAGTTCAGTATGTTTTGCGTTATAACGAGGCAGCTCGTCCTTACATGTCTCCTTGGCTTTACACCCAAACGTATATTCACATAAGCCCCTTTACGCTCATCTGTACACCACGTATAATCACTTTTATGAAAGAACTAATTAGTAAGTCACTGTGTGATTTAAGAAAACACAATGGATCAAATATTAATGAATGCTTTGATCTAAGATCTAAGGATGCATTTTACGAAAAATGAGCTCCATCCGCTACACAAGTTAATCGTCTGCCTGGGGCTAATGAAAAACGAAATGGGAAAAAAAATATTGATGAAATTCTGTCTTCCCAACAATGACAGAAAAACAAACCAAGCACATCATCAACACGATGTACCTTTTTCAGACGTGAGCAGTGTACGGAGGGACAGCGTGGACAGTGCGAAGACTAGAAGCCGGATGTAAAGTGTGTGTCCAGGTGGACAAGGACGGGCTCAAGCAGATCCAGGCGACCAAAGGAGGGTGGTCAGCAGGCATGTCACAGGTACAGGTCGGGTAGCTCACGCCCAGGTGGTGTAGTGGACACATATCCGGACAGTGGACGGTTGGTTGTCCGATCCCTGATGGTGTCATACCAAAGGACACCCGTGTAGATCAGGGTTAGAACTGATCTTCATCAACCCATGCTTGTCGTAAGAGGCGACTAACGGGATCGGGTGGTCACATGTCATCATATTCCAGTTGTGTAGATCGATGCTCCTGATGTTGATCACAGGATTATCGGGTCGAGACTCGATTATGTACAAACCATCGCCATAAAGCTGGACTAGTGCGGCGTTAAACAACAAACGAAAACATACAAAATTAAGTTAGACGATGTTACTTGTTACCATGCCTGGAGCTCGGTATTATAGGGATGGGCATGGGATCTCAGTGGTAAAACATCATTTAGTAAAATTTTCCTGGTTATTTTTGTTAATGCACAAAACATAAAGAAAAACATGTAGTTCTTGGGAGTTTTTTGGCAAATTTCACATCTTGAAAGGATGACTAGTATGCTAGGAACATAAATGTCTTGGGGTCTTTATGATAAATTCAATCATGACTTGGAACGAGTTTGTAATGTTTATGAAATGTAACAGACCAAACCAACCTTGTGAAAAATATTGTTAATGCAAAAGTGTTGCAGAATTGTTTGTGTTCGATTATGAGAAAACATGATCGCTTGCTTGGTCGTTTAGTCGTTGCATCCAATCTTCGATTATTTCAATTAATCGGACCACCACTAACTCACGCATACACTGCTTTCGTACATTAACATCAAACCCATTTCACCAGGTGCCATCCATGGTATCGGTATCCACAGAACTAGTGATCTAATGCGACCTCTCTGGGCTGATGCCTATAATTATCTAACAGGATCCCGTGAGGATCCTGAGCTTGAACTGGACCTCCTCAACCTATTCTGGTCGCGAGGGGCGGTGGGGTAGCCCTAGTGGTTAAAGCTTTGGCTCGTCACGCCGAAGACCCGGGTTCGATTCCCCACATGGGCACAATGTGTTAAAGCCCATTTCTGGTGTCCCCGCCGTGATATTGCTGGAATATTGCTAAAAGCGGCGTAAAACTAAACTCAGTCAATCAGTCTGGTCGGGAGAGGCAACGTAATCCAAAGGGTGGTCAAACACGGTGACTCAGTTTGGTTGCATTATAGGGCGTGGATTGTTGCTCATCATTTCAATCACCGAATTATCTCCCTGGCTCGACATTTAAATTCTCTGTCATATGGACTAAATACTAATTAGATCATCTCTAGCAACAAAACAGATAACAATAGAACTGTTTATAGCTCTCGAGGGCGGCAGGAGGAAATCATTGCTTGAATGTTTGTTTCAGTGCATTGGGAAAATCGGCATTATCAAAGATATTCCCAGTCAGGGCATGGCTAGTGTTGAGTTCGGGAGCAGCAAGTACCGGATAGCTACAGAGGCACTCATAAAGGTACCGAGACCAGTTCATCTCTCCATCCCCAACAGCATTTGAAACTGAATCTGTGGACATTATCGGTCACTATGACAATGTTCTCTGCACCTCCTTTGTGAACTTTATCATTATTTTCAACTCAACTAAGATTGCTAAGCGAAAGGAAGCAAGCTCTTATGTTTGAAGATGTCAATAAATGACACAAACAAGATATGGCAAGTCTATGTTGATGTACATGGTTGTGTTGTGGATAATAAGTTTATACTTTCTTTTGCCAAGAACAGTGTATGAGCATGTACAGTCCGTTTGAGTCAGAAACGGACCGATGAATTGCAAATTTTATCATTGTACAAAACTGCCACAGAAATATAAATAGTACACAGGGGATTTTGAGATGTCCCCGCCATGACTGGCTGTTCCGTTTCTGCGGTTTCACCCCGCCGCGACAGATAACAACTTTGCGTTTTCAATGATGATAGTTTCTTAAAGAACTTTTTAGGTGGAGTCGGAAAAATTTTCAAATATAATATAAAGCTGTTGGGTATTAGTAAATGATAAACATGTGTACTATTTATATTTATGTGGCAATTTTGTACAATGATAAAATTTTGCAATTCATCGGTCCGTTTCTGACTCAAACGGACTTTTTGTGAAATATGCAATATTTAATTTTTATGAAAAACGGAGGTGTTCGGGTTTAAAGCGGCCTGACTGTATTCATAATATTGTAATATAATGAGGAAATGTAATGCCAACAGTGTACCAGCAATATACACCTGATTAGAACATGAAAGCCATTCATCAAATTTGAATTGCAAAGTTCGACAATGTTGGCGATGACATAGCCTAGTGGCTAATATATTCGCTCGTCAAGCCGAAGTCCAGGTTCAATTCCACACCTGGGTAACATGTGTGATAATTCTGGGGTACACGCTGTGGTATGATATAACTATTGGAGGCGTACATCCACACTGACTCTCGATAGGGGCTCTGGGTGAATTGTGTGTACACTGCAGGTGCACGACCACACGCTGAACACCGTGGTGCGGGTACTGGGGACAGGAAGAAGGTGCAACAGCTCCAGGAGGGGCATGGCGAGTGGAGATCCAGGATGGAGCAGGTGAGGCACCTCATTCCTTCCGCCACCGTGATGACGTCACAGTGCCATCTGCGCCATGGAACCATGGTTGAAGAAATGAGGAAACACATCCAAATGAAATGCTAATTCATTTTGAAAAAGTTTGTCAGATCCTTCGCTTAGAAAAACAACAACAACGTTTTACGAGAAAATGAAAATGTACCTTTATATTATGAGACATTCTCAACGATCTTCTTGAAATAGCTCCACATAACTAAAAGGTTACTGAGTCGGCATAAAATGTTATTCCACGTAAGTGAAATATCAATTTAGTACACATATATGAAAGCCGTTCTAAGTGTACCACCTTCATTTTCAAGAAGCAATATCAGGCCTAAGGTCTGTGTTGAAGTGTACGACCGTCACAACCATAAGTCGCTTTGCCAGACTGGGCCAGTACAAGACTATATTGGATGTGTTTTGCCAGGTCTTGGGGAAGGTGGGACGAGTTGTGAGAGTGGACAGTGACGGCGACATCGTGGTGTGTCCTTTGGCTCCCACCAAGTGGATCTTTAACCCTGCATGCCTTGTCCCCTTGGGGAAAGGGTGGACGATGTGGGAAGCAGGGGAGGGGAAACTGCTGGACTTGGAGGTGGGTGGAACCTCATATATAAAAGCGATAAACAAAATTCCGTCATCGTTTATGGTTTTATGCATAAATATGTTGACATTAGGAAGTCATCCATTTCAAACACATAGTCTGTCAAATCATTGATATCTTATTCTCTGTTTAAAGAAAAATATATTTCAAGTGCTGATTTCTTATGTAGAAAATAGACAGCTAGATTTGTCTGTTTTATGATGCAGGCTTCTGTTGATGAAACTGATGAAGTTTTTCCTCAGTCATTCGCACAATGACTACGGGAAAAATTATCTAGACTATCTAGATCAGAGGGTACATTTCTGTGGAGTACCATTATTAGAAATAGCAAAAATAAAGTCCATTAAACAACGATTTTTATTTCATTTTTCGTATTGAGACTGCGATTCATGCAGACAAAACATATCGTTATCGCCTTGAACTACCGAGTTTCTGTATTCGCTGAGTCGTGTGCAGGTTTAGGAGGACCCTGATGCAGCTCCTTGCCGGACTCCTGGATAAACAGATGATGGGGATGATGGCTGCTGCCATGGCCGCTCGAGCTGCTGCACCAGGGGGCAAACTCGGGTGACCTCTTCAAGGCCATCCTGGCTGGGGACAAAGAGGCAGTCAAATCCATCGTCAAAGCCAACCCCAAAATGGTGAATATTTTTGGAGACGACCGTAATTTTCGTTAGATCGCGAAGAAAATTTCACACACAGTTCGACTTTCTATCTATGTTTGGGGAACCCAGAGAATCATTCATAATCTTAAGTACTGATTTTTTCCTTCAATTTTGTGTTGTTTTGGAATAGTGGCTGGAAATGCTTTACAGACAAAGATAACGATCACAGAAAGGTCTTCTGAGCTCCACTCATCCGGACTCCAGATGGGTTGTAACTCTGCATTTTCACCCATTCACTCACTATCTGATGTAGGCTACAGAGCCGATCAAAGACCTGACTCCACTGATGATAGCATCGCACGAAGGGCAGGTAGACATTGTTCGAATCCTTCTCGACAGCGGAGTTGACATGGAGGCCAAAGGTAAAAAAGTGTCACGGCCATTGCAAGCAGCTATAATAGGGTAAGCCAGTAATTTGTGCTGTGTTCTTGGTTCTTAATTCTCGACTATACACTATGTTACAAACCCATGTAATTGGTATCATGGGCCCAGGGATAAGCTCTAAAATGCTGTTTAATGTTAGTAGTTCTGAGTAGCCACGGACAATTTATAATATGTTAATGATAGGAGGGACGCAAGCGTCACTTCTGAAACAAAATATTAGGTGGCGAAGGGGTCCTGGGTGTCGATCTTAGAACAAGCCAAAAATGTGAGCAGGCCCTCACTAATACCCCGATCGTCACTCCAGCTGAACAACAACACTAACCACATGTTGACACCGCTTTAGACACATGTTGACACCGCTTTAGACACATGTTGACACACATGTTGACACCGCTTTAGACACATGATGACACACATGTTGACACCGCTTTAGACACATGTTGGCACCGCTTTAGACACATGTTGACACCGCTTTTAACACATGTTGACACCGCTTTAGACACATGTTACGAATTCAGGCCTGCTAAATAATACATAAAATATCCTGCCATCACGAAGCACGGAATGGCCGCCGCCGCCCGAAACAAAATGGTTCAAATTGGCATCTCTGCTTGGAAGCTCTATGGGTTTAGGTATATCGAGTGCGCGTTAAGAGTTAATTACGTTACATGAGTGAATAAAAGAGCTGAGAACAGAAGAATAAATGCAGATGCTCTCAAAAAGTAAAAAACCCTAATAAATGGTCTGTGATGCTTTTTCACAAAAGCACATGTTGAATTCAGAATTACATTCGCATTGACTTTTATACATTCACACTGCTCATGCATTCAGCTTCCAAGCCAAACGAAAATCTGCCCTCGATCACTCACTGCTAGTTCGTCACAGACCCTGCTTATATTAAAGATCGTGGGTAAACCGTTGTCACAGAGCCATTCCGTAGCAAAACAGTGATGGGTGATCTGGGCCCACTTGCACAAAGCGATCTTAGCGCTACGACTATCTTAAGCCTATGTTGTGGAATGGGAGTTACAATCATTGTAGCACTAAGATCGCTTTGTGCTAGTGAGCCCAGGACTTGATCTTCCTTGGTAGATTTAGGTTATATAGTATTTAACAGTTTACATAAAGCTGTCAATAAACCTTTGCCTCACACAGTACTATTATCCATGATAACAAGTGACTAGCTTTGTTGTTTGCTTATATAAATGTATTATTATTAGTACCATGTTATCTCACTTATGTGTAGAATGTGCCAGTTCAGTGATGCCCTTGAAAAGAGTAATATACATTTGGTAATTGTCAGAGGACAAATCATGAACCAGCACATCGCATTTTAAAGTGATGACTTTACATAAGACCGCCTCCGTGGTGTAGTGGTTAGAGCGTCCGCCCGGAGAGCGGAAGGTCGCGGGTTCGATCCCCGGCCGCGTCATACCAAAAGACGTTAAAATATGGTACTTGTTAGTCCCTGCCTGGCGCTCGGCATTAATGGGTACAACAAGGACTGGTCGGCTCGGAGTCAGTATAATGTGTCTGAGTGGGGTATTCATGCTTCACTGCGGCATGGTATCTCAGTGGGCTAGCACTATAAAACCAGCTTCAGTCTGGGCTAGTACGAGCAGCCACACATACACATACGCATGCACGTCGTCATATGAGCGAAATATTCTCAAGCACGACGTTAAACCCAATTTCACCTCACCTCACCTCACCTCTTTACATAAAATATGACGGAATAAACCACATTCCCTGACAGTGGCAAGGGAGGTGGTTGCTCAGCTGCTGATTGAGAGGGGCGCCAACATTCACATGACCCTGAACGATGGACAGACAACTCTTCACTTGGCTGTACACAAGAACCTGTCGAAGACCCTCAAACTACTGATCCAGAAGGGAGCGGATGTTAATTCTGTGGTGAAGTGTTTCTAGTTTTCTCTTTACATGTGCAAAATCAGTATTGTGGTCTTTGTAAAGACCATACTCTGTACAATTTTGCTAATGGTTAGAAGATGTCTTTGAATGTCATTTAGAAGTATTCACATTACAAGGACAATTGATGGATGTCAAAGTCTTTATTATAGGAACAAAACATTTCGCAGTATTGCTTCATCTTACCTCATGAAGGAGTACGAATATAACCGAAAGGTTATCTTCCATGTAATATTTATAACCTTTTCCTGTTATGGTTAAAATAATGACTTTTTGTAAATGTCTAGCATGGACAACAGTCTTGTTCAAATATTGCAGGACACTGCACAATCTGTTTACTGGCAATTAAAATGATTGACAAGAAGGATTTATAAACTGACACCTCGATTCCTGCGAAATATGCTCCTTTTCGTCCTTATGTACATAATGAACAGTACCCGTGAATGCTCTGGTCAGAATTGATCTTCAGCAGCCCTTGCTTGTCGTAAGATGCGACTACAGGAATCATGTGGTCAAGATGGCTGACTTGGTTTACACATGTCATCGTTTCCCAATCGATGCTCGATGATGATGTTGATCACTGAATTGTCTGGTCCAAACTCGATTATTTACAGACGTATGGCTGGAATATTGCTGAAGGCGACGTTAAACAACAAACAAGCAAAAACAACATAATTTGTAAAGTCTAAGATTCTATCCTTTTACTAACCCTGAGTTTAACTACTCATCTAAGAGTGTTCTTCTTGAACAGGATGGATCGATGGACACGCCGCTGCATGATGCTATCGAGGTCAGGAGCAATGACTGTGTAGAGGTTCTCCTGGGCAGCAGAAACATCAACCTTCGGCTGTGCAACAAAAGGAGCTTCAACCATCTTCATCTGGCCTGTCTGAGAGGCAATGTATTGTAAGGCATCAGTTTTAGCAACCAACATTTCATTGAACATGTTCTGATGAACAGTGCTTCATCTATAATTACATAAAGACTATTTTCTTTGCTGTTGAACGCCGCATTCTGCAATGACGATTGTTCTGATAAAACTGTATGTTCAATTATAATCTACAACAGTTTCTGTTGTCGCTGTGCAGATGTGGCTTTGAAGAAGCCCATTCCATTCAGTAAAATACATGTATATGATCTGTTTAATCTGGTTTACGAAGCAGTAAGACTGTATGTATCCCAGCCTTCGTTTTCGTATTCTGGTATGACGGTTTGTTATTATTAAGGCCACTCACTCAATCCCTGTACCAGCATGATAAACACCGTAGATCCATTCGCAACCACAGCTTAGTTTTGGAAATGACGTCACTATATTCATTTCGCCAATCAAAACCGTAATAAGC